TGCCAGAATCGTTTTTGAAAAACGACACTAGTTTCTGGTTGCCAGAATCGTTTTTGAAAAACGACACTAGTTTCTGGTTGCCAGAATCGTTTTTGAAAAACGACACTAGTTTCTGGTTGCCAGGTTCGTTTTTGAAAAACGACACTGGAAACTAGAAACTAGACACTAACTTCAGCGCTCTTCGTAGACACAGGACTCGTCTGGTGAGTGATTTGTTGGATATGCACAATGTTCTGAGGATAGGACAACCACCTTTGAGCCCTGATATGTTTTTCTGCCTTAATCCTTGGTCCTACCAGTTAGGTTGAGTAATATTTCGCATCTATTGTAGAATTCATTAATTTTTATTGCATTCATACCGAAGCGAATCAAATTCAGTGAATGTGCACTGTTAAGCAAAGGGCGCACTTATATCACTTATGGAAAATTACTTTGGCGTAACTATAAGGTTACAGATAATGACAAAGTCGGAATATACACTTGCTGTATATCTGTTCAGAATTATATTCCTTCTGAGTGCCAACGAGATTAAAAATGTGTAAAAAAATCGCCTTGATATTATAAAATAGAAAGACATTGATTCGCTATATTTCGTTTCATTGTGTCCTTATATATTATTATTAAGAATCTGCTTCTAAGTAATGGATTTTGGGTAACAAAAGTTTCGTGACTCTTCCTAATGACGCAAGCTGTTGACCCAAGTCTCCATATTACGATCTGCACGCGCATTTCATGGCCTCCCTTTTTGACCTCTTTTGTTCTCTTAAACGGAACTATTTAAGTCCTGCCAGAGTCTGTGTGTTTTGCCAGTGACGTGAGTTCACTGCAACTTCAGCTCCGGGAAGAAGAGAATGCTGCTGATGTAAGTAAAGGTTAAAAGCATGTGGATATTTAAAGGTGTGCACATTAACGAGTTACTGGACCTTATTACGCCGATTATTGCGTGTCTTTGATTATGATTTTGGTTTTTTATTTCCTTCTCATTTGGCAAGACGCGGCAACAAGACGCGGCAACAGAGGTCGAACTTTAATAACATCATCCTAATTTGTTATTCAGGACCCACAAGTCTGTAGGGTTAGAGAGTTAGCACTTTGTGTACCTGCTTATGTAATTCAGAAAAGTCGACCTCACTAACACAGACACTGCCTTTTGTTTGTGGCCAACCAGAACAATGATACTCAGAAAGACCTGTTTTTATGCTTTTGACCTATATTAAGTTTCCTGATTTATATTAGGATTGCGCTCTGTTCAGTGCGGTGACTCAACTTTGACTTTTATCGTTGTTTAAGTTGATCTTGACATACCGTACGTGACATTAATCAGAAGCAGAAAACTGCGCACTTAATCTATTCCCGTTTCAGGAAGAAAATCAACCCCAGTGGTTTGTGAATTACAGTTGCGAGTTAAGGCAATCCTTCACCATGTTACTTCACAGCGAAAATCTTTATAATTGTGACTTGCACTTAAAGGTCGTCATCCAATGTGTATAACTGAGGCTCGTAAGGGGACCTTTTTATACCAGGAATCTGAAACAACCTACTACGTTCCAATCCATTTCTGACTATTATCAAAGAAAGATGGATTACAAGACCTTACAGGAAATTGCACTTCTGTTGGACCCCACAGACGTGTTTGGGAACGATTGGAGGATGGTGGCGCATAGAATGGGATTCACCTTCCTCGAAATCCGCAAACTGGAACGCGAAGCTGAACCTACAAAAAGTGTTCTGCTTAGCTATAAACACAAGTCTGGTAAAGCAGACGACGAATTATTAGTGGATTTGTGTAAGATATGCTCGGAAATAGGTCGCCAAGACGTCGTCGAGGCGATTAACATAGATACAGAGGTACAAGCCCCACTAGAGTCGGATATAAAATCGAGACAGAAGGAATTTCTTATAAAATGTAAGTAATGCGTTCGTTAGAAATGTATCAGCGTAGGAGTTTTTTTCTACTGCATGTTTAAACGCTTTTTTAACAACAGTTATATTTATATGAATATCTGAGTTTGAATCAAATGATTTACTGTCCGTTTTTCGGCCATGAATACCTACAGGGGTACTAAGAGTGAAATTATCTTACGCCAAGGGAAAGTAAATCAAATATTTTAAAATATTTTAAAACAGAAGTCACAAAGAAAAAATAGGAAAACAAAGAAAGGGTTAAACTGAATAAACAAAAACCTGGCCGTTGTGATATTAGATTCACATTGAAATTGTCGTGTTTTAGATAGATGCACAAGCGAGCAATTATACGTCCGAACCATAAACGAATGCACGCGATGCATGAGAGACTATTTCACAAAGCTGTGTGGAATTAAAACGCGCCAACTGCAGGCCTTCCTAGAGAAACCGCAGAACCTGAGCGTTCTTAAGGTATTGAGGAACAACAATGTTTTAACTGAGAAGCAATTCTCTATACTATGCCCAAGCTCGGGGAGCATTAACATACAAGATATGGACTTGTCTCTGCTGTACATCCTTGTTAAAAACATAGCACTAAAGGACGCGGATTGGTCAACGTTGTCGAATCAAGACGATTCTAGTCCGGAACACGACGTGATCAGAATAAAAGACCTTCTTCACAGATTGTCTGCTGTGGGCCCAAACAACATTCAGGTGGAAAGGTTTGAGACTATTTTTAATGATCTCAGTGACCCTTTGCGTCGCCTTGGTGGAAACCCCGAATATATTCTTCAAACGGAATGTAGTACTGGAGAAAAAGAAGACGCGAAGGCAACTGCTAAGCGACGAAGGGCACGTTTTTACGGTGCCATCACTGCGGTAATAGTCTCAACAACAGTCGCTGTTATTTTGGCTGTCTCATTCATCGTTCATTCCAAAGAAACGACACCTTACGACCACACCCCTACCTCTGTGTGTGAGAAGGTTACACCTGAAAATATCACCTTCAGGTGGAAAGGTAATTTTGTGCTGTGAGCTCATCTAAAGTCTTTTTTATTATCAAGCTACATTTACTTCTTTATTGATAGCTCCATACGCAATATTGATAATTGATTTTGAAACCGTTTTGTACAAAAAAATTTTTTTTCAATATATTGAATTTAATGCGTTTGACATGAAATATACACTGTATATCTTAACCGCTGGTATCCCTGTGACATATAAGATGAATAAACCCACTTCTAAAAAAAATATTTGGAAACTTTATTCTGTAGGTAAGCAAGTCGAATTTCCTTTCGTTAGTCGAGATGGCTGGGGAGCTAAAGCCCCTCTTGGGGAGTACCCGTACCGATCACAACCCGTCCCTTACGCAGTCATAGCTCATACGGCAGGGGCCCGCTGTAACGGCACTAGCTATTGCTGTATGGAAGTCAAAGGAACACAGAAATACCACATGAAGGCTCGAGGTATTTTAAACATTTATTATGGGCGTAGATGAAAAGTTTTTTTTGCAAATGCTTTTATTTTGCTTGTGATTTAAAATTAATTGATTGTTATGATACATTTTAAGAAATAATTTTGTTAGACATATTACACAGCTGTTAAATTAATCAAGTGGAAAGCTACTTGTACCTCTTGAATTTGCTGGACGCGTTATTAAACTATACACAATTTTCACCACTTTGCAAAGATTTTTTTCTCCAGCGTGATTAGCTTAATTCCTAACCGTTTAAAATGTTTTTTCTTGAAAGCACTTTTGTTTATTTGACTTTGCTTGTTAATCAGGAAGTCGCCCCCACCTCCAAAAGAAAAAAAACGCTAGATGAAATTTTAAATTACAGAGTAAATAACTCATCCTAGGTCCGGTTAGAACAATGACCTAGACAATAGTTACGAGGGCTTTTCTGTATTTAGGTCATCAGCTGGAATCGCGTGTAAAATGCCTTCTCTGTCTAGGTCATTGACTGGGATCGTTTGTAACAGTGTAAATGACGTTTCAATGGCTATTTCAGGCTGGGATGACATAGGATACAACTTCATGGTCGGTGGAGATGGAGTGGTGTATGAAGGGACAGGATGGGACCAAGTAGGAAGACATACAAGAGGGTAAATATCTAGCTGAGTGCCCGTCTCCCAGAGGACTTGAATATAAACGATTAGTAACATATTTGATCAGTTTTTGCTTTTAAGCTGTTAAAATATTTATAAAACTTCACAGAAAGAAGCGTTTCAAGTGCAGCTTGGTGTTCGCATTGGCACAGTTTTCTGATAGTGCATACTAAATATTTTGGAATCTATAAGAAATCTAATTCACATAAGTCAAATGTTTGAATATTTGGTAAAATATTTTTAACCTCACCAGTCACAGCTATTATGTCTACAATGTTTGCCAGCGGTCTGAGATACAAACGACTAGTAGTTTTGACGTTGAAATTAAAAAAAACGTAATATAAAATCTCCAGTCAGTTCAGTAGCTATTGTTTTGACTTAATTTCCGATATTTATATATCTACATTAAGATTCAAATTAATAGTCCTTGAGGTTCTCTGGGGTCTACTAGTCCCAAGTGACACTGAGTCGATAACTGTAAGATGCAGACAGATTTAGATTTAGAGTAAAAGTTTTTTTTTCGACATTAGGTGGAACTACGATAGCATAGGCATTGGTTTCACGGGCAACTTTGAAACGAGTTTGCCGCCAAATTCTTCAATCTTAGCTGCTCGTCGCCTGCTGCAGTATGGGGCGTACTTAGGAAAATTAACCCAGGATTATGTCATATACGCTCACTGCCAGGTGTCCGGGTTTGTAAGTCCTGGCGCTGCCATGTACGCTGAGATAAGGACCTGGGACCATTGGGTAAGATTTCTTGATTTTTTTTTTCCAAATCAGAATCAATTTGCCAATAAGACGACGAGATTTTTCTTCATCATTGGATAGTTTCAAGTACTATATAAAAATAATGCTTTATCTCCCACATGTCTCTATTCAACGTTTCATTTTCACAATGGCTATCTTTGTATATATGCACGAAGGAAGATACTTGCATCGGCTTTGTTTTGTCTGGTTGTTTGCTGGCAAAATATTTTTAAAAGTATACAAAAAAATTGACGAAATTGTCAAAATAGTTGGTCGTTCAAGAAGAAAAAAAGTGGATGAAAGTGTCAATTGAATAAGGGAGTTTTGATATTTTAAAAAGAATTTTTCCTTGAAAGAGGTCAGCTTTCCTTTTCAACAATATCTAGCACTGTAATGCGAGTTGTATTTATTAATAAGTTACAGCATTTCACATATGCAAAAAAATCTGTTTCTAGTCAAAGAAGATAATTTTGTTGGTTGAATATAATATAATAATTTTAACTAAGAATATCAACCTTAAAAATTGCTGCCTTTAGAGCTCATATTTCATTTTATACCTTGCTCGCTTCATTTCAGCAAATACGAAATAAAAACGGCGCATGCGCCTAGATGATGCCTGCAGTGGCGTGACAGAAGTTCTGACAACCACTTCAACGAGATGACTCGCATCTTTATAGCAAAAAACACACTGCACAGTATAATATTATGTAAATTTTACGTTTGGGTTGATTCTTTCCGTTGACATTTGCATATTTTTTGTTTTTGTAAGTGTCAAATTCAAGTGTGGATTGGAACATATATTTCTTACAAGTATGAATGCCTTAATTACTTCTAAAGTTATTAAATACATTTCAAGTTCCATGTCAATGTCCTAATAGAATTTATTACTTTCATGCAATAATTGTTTAGAATTAAAGATAAATACTCGTTTAGATAACAGTAAGAACACACGTTTAGTGAAGATTCGTATTCTCAGCTGTTATGAATTTATCAAATAAATGATTTTGTTTTTTACAATGCTTTATTCAGTCTTTATTTTTTCTAACGTTGACACATTGCAAACATTCACGCTCACACACACACATACACACACACACACACACACACACTGGCGCGCGCTAGAATTGATGCTAATAAACAATGCTTTAAAATTGTCCTTTTATGTACACGTTAATGTTTTTGGCGTGCCCCAAACATGGTCGGCGTAAAAAAAATTTTGTTTCATTTTCAATACCGGTGCCTGCACATACACGTACCGGGGGTACATGTATAGACTTTGTCATAAATGTTGTCCCATCTCTATTTCCATTTTATTTTATCTATTTTATTATTTTATTTTAAATGACCACCTCACACCCGTAAACCATTCTGAACATTGGTTTACCATATTTAACATGAGCCAGTCTGTATATATACTATAATACGGCCGCACCTATACGTATATATGCGTCATCCAACCCACTGCCCAGAATAAGTGATGTCCGCATTGATACCCACGGCTATTTGGTTTGAAAGTCGCAAGTTACAAAACAGTGTCATGCCTTGACCAACAACACAGTAAGAACATATTCCGTAATGTCACAAGATATTCTTTACTTTATTTATTTATTTATTTATTTTATTTATTTATTTTATGGTACAAGCATGATGGACATAAATTCTCTTCCCTCGCTTGGTGACGAGCATAAAGTTTGCTATTAATCTTTTAATTTACAACGAAAGGTGACAGCTGTTTAATATGTAGACCGTTGGTCATAATAGTCGAACACAAGATCTGTAAGATAAGATCATTTCATAATATAATCCATGATTTTCAAAGAGAATGTCTGAGTCTCGTGAAAGTTAAATATATCAAACCCATGTTTGTGTGAATACAGCGCGCAATCTAGCATTTTTTTATGCTCTGCCTCACCACTGTTTGGAGCATAGGCAACATAAATTTCATGTTTATCGCATCAATATATATACAGCTTGAGCATAATACATAACTCTACATATATCCTTGAAGACGAGGCTTCTTTGTCCTTAGGCGTAACACACGTGACGACAGTAACACACAGAGTCATATGACACAGTGGACAAACTTCTTCACGGACAATTTAGTCCTTAATCAGTCGCTCTTTATCTTAATTTGGACACACCTGTGCGAACTGAAGAAATTTGTTGGTGTCGATCGGTGGGTATTCCACAAAACTGGCGGCGTCGTTTTCTGGAAAGTCCTGGTAAAACTGGGTCTGTTTTCGCGTCCAGCTTTCTTATAGCCTCGTCTACAGCAGCTTAGGACAGCTTACAAGTGCACGACGATATGAAGACGACGGTGTCTGCTCATCTTGGGTTTTGTAACCGTTAGGTGATAACTTCAAAGAAAATCAGGAACATGGTATCTTTACAGAAAATGCCAAGACGTCGGAAACTTGTGTCAATTTCAACGTTTTTCATAATCTGGATTTTAAGTCTTCACGTCCAAGGAATATACGCACGTAAGATTTTTTTCCCTTGCCTTTTTGTTTCTTTTTTATAAGAAATGAAGAGAGATCAAGAATTAGGCAAAGCATTTGCAATACTTATTATCTAAAGGCTACATAAGATTTTCTTATTTTAGTACGTCTTTAGTAAAATATTAAAAAGTGAAGTAAATAGAGTTTATGAAATTGTACAGAAGTGAAATATAATGGCTTAACACAAGCAACTAATTTCCTTTTTCATATTATCACACTCATTTGATTTATTTCCGGCCGACAGTACCAATCACTATCTGACACCGATTTGCAAAGACAAACTGACAGTTAACTTTTGCAAATTTTGCCCCCGTACATTGTACGTGTATGCTCTACAAGTGTCGACTTTTTCACTAGTATTAAGATAAATATTTTATATTTATAAAAGAATCGGGGGAAATATTTTTCGATTGTTAGCTTTTGCAAATTATCGAACCTTAAGTGTTTTTATCGTTTTCAGCTAAGCGCAAGCCCAAGCCAAAACCTCCTCGGGACCCTCCAACGACAACTCCTTCTATGACAATTCCTGCACCAACGACTCCTCTGGCAACTACAACAACAACTCCACGGGTGACTACAACAACGACTCCTCTGGTGACTACTACGACGACTCCTCTGGCGACTACCACAACGACTCCTCTGGCGACTACAACAACTACTCCTCTGGTGACTACAACGACTCCTCTGGCGACTACTACGACGACTCCTCTGGCGACTACAATAACAACTCCACTGGTGACTACAACAACGACTCCTCTGGTGACTACAACTACTCCTCTGGTGTCTACTACAACTTCTCTGGCGACTACAACAATAACTATTCTGGTGACAAGTACCACGATTCCTCCAACGACTATTTCAACGACTCCTTTGTCAATAACTACAAGGCCTCTTCTGGTAACAACTACATCGACTCCTGTGTTGACTACTTCAACGACTCCTCTGGCGGCTACTTCAACGAACCCTCTAGAGACTAGTGCAAGTCACCCGTCAGTTCATACAACAATGCCGCAACCGACAAAAATTCCTTTAGCCAACTTTACAACAATGGATCCTTTGATCACTAATTCAGCCGCGACCCTTTGGAAAGATACTTCAACATCGACTCTCTTGAAGACTACTGCGACACGTTTGACGGTCACTACATCCCCTCTAACGAATCCAACAGCTACAATTCAGCCCACAGCAGTGACAATGAACAAACTTACTACTCCTATCACGACTATTCTTGCAAATTCTGTCCAAAATGAAGCAACGACAACTTCAAAAACTATTTCCACGACTTCCAGTGTTAATCTGGCAACAACTCCCAAAATTACTCCTACGCCATTTGCATTCACCGAGGCAACGCAAACTATGGATACAACAGTGCGGCCAGGGGACACAACAGTAGGGCCAGGGCACACAACGGTTGAGTACACAACAGTAGGACCAGGAGACACAACAGTGGGGGACACAACAGTGGGGCCATGGTACACAACAGTGAGGCCAGGCGTCACAACATTGGAGCCAGGGGACACAACAATGGGTTCAGGGGGCACGGCAGTGAGACCAGGGGACACAGCAGTGGGGGGCACAACAGTAGGGCCAGGGGAAACAACAGTAGAGCCAGGGAACATAGAAGTTAAACCTAGTGCACCAACAGAGCAGAGTGAACAGAATACGCAACGTACATCGACAGAAGACTCTCCTAAAGACGGAATACATGGGGGGACAGACGAATCTACGAATAACGGCGGTTCCGCTGACTCCTTCTCTCATGACGGATCAACCGGATCTTCATCTGGTGGTAGTCTCTCTCTGGACGGATTGCCAGGTATTGAATATCCGGATGGTACACAATCCGACGGTTCGATGGATATTGCTTCCAATGAAGATCCGTCGGGAAAGACAACACAGAAAGGAGATGGAGACAGTTCGTCAACCACAGCGGCGTGGGGCGTCAACAAAATAGGAACACCCGACCTTGAACCAGCGAATGATACAAGTGACGGGAAAGGTAATGGTTTCTAGTATGAAGTGATTTACATTAGTTTTGAGCCAATCTTTTTGCCATTGTATGGTATTGATTGGGATACTTACTGAGTGGTACTTAAAAAACACAAATTTCCTTTAATTGGCACGCGAATTAAAATATAATGGATACTATATTCGTGAAAGCCAATTACATGTGGTCTTTGAAAATCATGTTTTAATTGTTTTTCATGTATTTTATGCAGATGAAGGCGGTGAAAAAGTTGGCAACGGTGCGATCTCTACCGGCGTTGTGACAGGAGTAGTTGTGGGGCTGCTTTTCGCTGCCCTCCTCATTCTTTCTACAGCTCTATTCATAGTGTGCTTGAAAAAGCAGAAGTAAGTAAAAAGAGCACGGTCATTACCTATAACCTTCTCATACCATTACCGCAATATATTTATAAACTCCGGTTTGATATTTACACTGGTCAAAGTATTCCAAATTTTGGTTAAGGACAAATTGTCGGTCCCTTAGCCTTTTTCCTTGCACCGATATGAATTTCCGTTCATCCACCAGTTAAGACCATTGACAATTATCATAGATTATCATATTTCATTTTATTACATTGCCAAGTTTTATTCTTTTTTAACGTTTATAGTTCTCTTTGATTCCCTTAGAATATGAAGATATTTATTTTTAAGTTTAACAGCCAGTAAATACCTTCTATACAAAGTTGCACGGTGATAATTTCATGAAACACATAACACAGGGGGAAGGTCGGCAACAATGGAGGCGTCCCTAGGGTGACTCAGTGCGTTTTAATCTTAACTCAATCTCTTCACGACATCCACTATACCCTCAAGGTATTGACAGTCATAAATAAATAAATAATATACTGAGTATATAAATCAGCTTACATGAATCACGGCCCAAGGCCATTTCATGCTGACTCTCTACGAGAAAGGCATCACAAGGTTTCGACCGCTCATCTTCCGCCGAACAATTAAAATCAATTAAAATGAAGTGTGGCGAGCTGAATGTTAGATGCACTTTTTGGTTTGTCACAAATATTTTATTTTTCTTTTCTGATGCTTTGTTTTTGGTTTTTTATGCTAAGTCATGTAAATCGAATTGTTATTTGTATTTATATTTCTTATTGCGCGAATAACGGTCTTTATGCTGCAAGACGTTTCCACAAGATAATTTCAAAGTATAAAAAAAAACATTGTTCAACCACAGGAGGTCATTCATTAAAATGTTCTGGTAATCAAAATACAAATTTTACTTGGCCTCCCAACATTGCTAAAGTAAGTTGCCTTGGGGTAGGGAAATAATTCCCGTCACAGAAACGAAGACTGAAGTGTCAGTCTGCTCCTCCCACCGCTGGAGGGAGCTACTGTATCTGGATGCTGACGTCATTTGTTCTTTTCGCACAGTTTCCCACAGTACAGAAATTTGAACAAAATTAGCCAGAGAAATATTTCTGAATATCTGTTGAAAATGCTCTGTTGCCCTGTTAAAGGATATGAAGAACTTATGTAGACCCCGCTGAACGAACATTCCTTGGTTCAAGTTAATTCTATGTCGGTTTTATTTACTTTTTTAATAAGTGAGTTACGCTTAATGTATTTAATTCTTTTACAGAATACGATTGCCGGAAAGTTACAGCACCAAAAGGACAGAAACTCTACAGGTAAGTGTGCTGGCAGCAAATAGCATCAGAAAATGCTCATCGTTTGCTGTGGGTTTTATTTTTTCTCGGAGCAAATGCTTCTGAAAAAAAAAACAACATGCCTAGCACATTTCTGTTTAGAAAAAAATCGATACTGCAATCTTATTTATCGATCACCCTTCAAATATATTGATCATATATAGTTTTTTAATCAAAGTTTTCTTGCATCCATTTCATCTCAGAACAATCCAGTTTATAAGGGCGTTTTACCAACAATCGCCGTCACCGACGGGGCCTCTGCTTCGCCGGACTTCACTAACAGTACGTCGAACGTCTACATCGACAGTGATGCCCTGCAGCAGCAGCGACCCCCAAATTTCACGGGACAGAGCTGGAACAGCGAATTCAGCTTCTTTGAGGGCTCGTCTTGTCACTTGAACAACCACCCGTCAACGACTTACCTGGCACCAACAGACATTGATCCAGAGCGCGTGTCGAACCTTTATGCATCAATCGACGACTCCCGCGTCTCAGTGCGCAGCCAGGTCCTTGCCAGCGCCCCGCCCCTGGATGAGAGTAACACGGACTTCGACGACGCTGGCGGGTACTATGATCCGATTGATGCCCGCGGCGCTGCCAGAAGCCCTACAGCTGGCGATGCTCAGGATAACATATATTACAACTCTTCTGCTTTCTCCCCGACTTACGTGAACCAGCTTGGCACGCACAATTGCAACACGCATGTTGGAGAAAACTGCGATTATCTGGAACTTATGACCACGCCCAACAAGGAGGAACGAACGTCCACGATACGGCACCATTGCGCACCTGGCGGCGAAGAGGGTCACGTGTACGCGTTACCTCGCAACAATGCGCCCCTCAGCGAATCAGGATACAGTAACAACAGCAAAGCACTTGATTGTTCGTCTCATTTTGCAACTCGGAGTGGCAGCAATGTTTATGAAATTGTTGAGTTTCGAAATTGATAAAAAAAATTATTATTCATTTGAAAAATCAATACAAAACAAAGTTGCTTTGGGTGCAGCTTAATTTGGAAATTACCGAACACGCTTCATGAAAACATTTTATCAGTCATATTTATTGTAATGAGTTCAAAAATCAGTGATGCCTTCCCACTGATAAAAACTGCATAAACTCGTCGATCAATTGATTTTGATTAAAATCAAATATTGAAGTATTTTACAACAAAGAATACACTTGTCACCTGAAGATTGAAACCAAGCCTTCCGTAATACTGGTATCTGCCCTAAAACTTGTACGCGTCTGATGATTATCAAGAGTGCACAGCACCAAACTGAGTTACTTCACCAAAGTTATTTGAAAATACATTTAAATGATATAATGAATTCATATATGAATAATCATAATGGGATAAAGAAAAACGAGGAGGATTGGTCACAAGAATTATTTTAAGTGTTATTTTAATGTTTAGCTCGTCAAAGTCGCGACCGTGCACCTGGCCGGGGCAAGCTGAAAAACAGTTATCAAATTAATCCCATCATATCTCTCAAATTTGTGTTTTGAATTTCAAATACATTTTATGGTTCCCTATTCAAAATATGCATTGTTTTCAACGACGTAACATTTTATTTGGCAAAGTACATATTTTGGCAGGGCACATATAAAGATTTATAATAACTTGGGCACCTAAAGCTTTTCAAATTTTTACCTGTATGCCCTTTGCAACAAGGATATAATAAATTATGTGATCATTGGATACTACCTCAGTTGTGCTACAATTTTCATACTATCAGGTAAAATACTTTTTTCAATCATCATGCGTGGAAAATAAATGCATGGAGAGCATTGTGAGTTTGTGGTCGTAGTATATATGGTCACCACGTGGGTGAACGAGTGCAGCGACATTCTGGAGCATATTTAGACAGAAATGCACCAATTTTTTATTGAATATTCTTTTGGTAAAATGCCTGACACGCAAATAACACAAATTTCGGAAACAGGCTGTTAGACTTGCTTCGATTTATGTAGTCGTCTATCCAAGCTAACTTAAATGCGGTCTAAATCAGGCCTCAAACCTGGAGTCTTTATGAGAACACGGTCTTTGAACAGCCAAGTAAACGTCACTAATAAATATAGTTGTTAAATAAGTTTATTCTTTTACTCACTTGGGGCTGTATAGGTCAATGATAAAAGCGCATATATGTCGGTAACACCTTATAACTGGAAACTGTGGGATTCAACTCAAAAATGTCCCACAAAAATCCCGTACTCTCCGAGTAGCTGAGAAATAATACGCCCATTATTTCAAATAATTTATTGTATCACCCGATTACATAAATTTTGACATAATATGAATTAAAATGTCTTAATGTATCAATGTCAATTTTTCCAAATACGCATTAAATTCAAACTATTTCACGCAGTTTGAAGTATAAAGTACAACGTACCTCCATATTAAACTTGGGGGTTCGCATCTGTAATTAATAAATTATCAAACTACATATGTCGATAGATCAGTCCTACAAACAACATAGAATTCCTTATATAAATGACCCATTTAAGGGAATCTTTATACATACCTAAATTATACATAAATACAGGCTGTGGTCTGAAAGAATAGACATTAAAACACAGCTGAATAATACTATAATAGAAAGCCAGACAAAATTGATAAACTGGTTATAGACAACAAAAAGAAATGACTTGCAAAAGGTTTTCGCAAGGCATGGAGAAATATTGACATGGAAAAACAAACTACCTGAATAAGGTTATTTTAACGGTAATTAAAAGAATGGCATGCGTCTTGTTATTGCACAAACACGTTATGGCAAACTTGGATCATAACAAATAGTTTTCTTTAACCTAACGGACCTAAGAAGAAAGTGCAAACCAGGAAGTGGGGAGCCCAAGCAAGGCATGACAGAGACAACCACTACACATACCTAATTCAATGAAAATGTAAATTTATATACTTTACTACCAGACTTGAACCGCATCAAGAATGTCTGGTCTACCAAGAAGTATCACTTGAGGAAGTACAAAAAAAAAACCTAAGGTCGACTAAGCAAGAACTGGTGGATGGCATAAAGGACTTTTGGACCAGCATGATGTCAGAAACGAAGAAACGGTTTCTATCTGGGGAAAAACTCCACATGAATTCTTTTCTGTTCAAGCCCTATGTCAAAAATTACTGGTTGAACAAAATAATTATTTCACTTGGCTCAGGGTGTTATCTTCTATTAAGACCCAAAAGACTGGTCATTCCAAAAATATTTTAGAGAAAAGTTTTGGAGCTACATCATGACATTCCATCCTAGGTTCATATTGGGGAAGCAAGAACCAAGTTAAAAATAATTGAAATTATAATGATATTATTAGTAAATGAAAGTATAGGGACAACAGATTAATCAGTACAACGGTACAATTACCAGTGCTGGTTATGTATAATTATAAGAGTAAGGACCCTGCATTGCACTAGAACATGTATGCAGTTGAATGTAAAAAAAAAATCAGTGAAATGGGACTAAAGCTAGCCTTTAAGTTAATTAGGAGAACAAACGAAAGCAAGCAACCAAACTTAAAAAACTTTAACATAACCCAGGCTTGGAGATGAGAACCTTAAACAGCACTTCAGACAATGAAGAAGTTGACTGAAGAAATACAATCAGAAGATTTAAAGACAGACAGTGCTGATTAGTGTCAGCTCAACTAACACACTGTTTAAGATGCCTAGTTTATTTTCCCCACAAAAATTACAGTAATCAGTGATCACCAGCAGTCTATTTTCACATTCCATGTGCAACTACCCATTAAAGTTCTAAATGTATTCTACATAATTTCTTACACACAGGCTTCAAGATTGTGTCCTAATTATAGAAACATCCAAGAGCAAGGTAATGTTTACCAAATTAATAATAATTTGCTCATATGCATACCTATTTCAACACAGTTCTGAATAATGGCACTCATGTATCACATTTTTATACATGCCATAGTATCATAATGCAAAATGTGTCTAGAAAAAATCAGCTTTGCTGCATCTAAAATACTTATCACAATTTCTTTGACTCTAATGTATTTCAAAATAATCCACTATTACTGGGGATCAACATCCTCCATACATTCCTTGTTAAAAACATTCCTTAGGCTTATGCACCAATAGCAATTTCTATATTACTACAATTTTCATAATTTACATTCAACCGTCTATCAATATATAATATGACCAAGTAAATCTGTGGTTAAAAAAATTCTTGCAAGACCCTATAGACTTTCACAATAAAAAATTTACAATTAATTATTATACTTTAGTTTTATTGGCATGGATTCACCCTAGTATCTCTATATCTGAATTTAATTCCATCTGCCAATTATACGTACTTCAATATAGCAATCTTAAAATACATCATCAATACCAATTTGCTAAAAAATAGTACAATTAATTCCATTTTTACTTTTTCTCAAAAGATAGCTTTTTTCTCAAAAAATAGGGGGAAACCCAGTGTATATTAAAGTACTAAGTAAGAAGATCTAACATTTTGCAACAAAGTGACTTTTTCGTTTACCAAGTGTGTTCATTAAGGGGCCCGCACACGGTGAGCATTTGGCGCGCGCCACTTGCGCTACGCCGTTTTCTCATCGTGTGCGGGGGTATCTTGGTGAGATTTTTGCCTCTCGCGCGGCTGAGCAAAATTTCTCACCTTTGATTTTTTTGGTCTCTTGAGGCAAATGTCTCAGCGTGTGCGGGGTGCAAGCGCCGAATGCTCACGCCATGCCAACAATGCGCATGTGCCAGTAGCCAGAAACAAAGAAAAATGGCAGCCCCCAGCAAAGTAAACAAAAATGTACACAGTTATAGTTAGTCTGATTGATTAACGTGGTCACCATTTGCCATTACTTTCAGAAAAAAAATAAATATGTAATGTTTCCTTAATCACATGATCCCACAGTTCGCAGTGTGTCCGATAGGGGCAGGCCGGGAGGCATCTCTGCTGAGCAAAGAGCGCATTGTTTGCGGGGAGCTGAGGAGCCCGAGCAACTAGCGCAGCGCAAGTGGTGCGCGCCAATTGCTCACCGTGTGCGGGGTGCTTTACTTGCAAATACATCACAGCAATTTTGGCATGGTGGTCGTCTTGGTTGGGAATGCTTCTAGACTCTCTTCTGCATGTGTCCAGTTGTAGAAATTCTCTCTGTACCACAATACTGAAAAAGGAACTAAATGTAAAATATACAATATATGTAATATATTTTACTAGAAAACTGTTGCTCATAACAAGCATTGCTTAGTGTAATAAAATCCATAACTATTTTTATCACTATTGGTATTGGATGGTATTATACTGGTTCTGCCCAAAGGCAGAAAAAGAGTCACTTACTTTCATTTAGGGTGTGGGGCTAAGTATCTTTATATATCCCAAGCTACTAACATAAATGAATTTCACTAGAAAAGCTTAAGACTTTGTTAGCCTTTTGTAAAGTGCAATTTACAGCTTCCCCTTTCTGGGTGTCTGTGTTCAGTTTTGTTGTTACAATTGCTCAGCCAGTAGGAAATGTTTTACACTAAATCATACGGCTCAGGAGGTTCGTCAGGCACATGTTAGTATAGTCGTCAATGGGGAATTTTTCAAGGTTTCTGTCCCAAGATTTTAAAGCTAAACTGATGAAACTTTCCAAGAACATACCACTGCACATCAACCCTAACATGCCTCTGATCTCACCTTTCCTGCCCTCTCACCTGTGTTTTCTATGCCTTGTTCCCAGGTGACTCTTGGCTGCCAGCCAAGGTTGGCAATCTTAGAGGAGTCCATGATGTATCTGTAGTCATTGAAAGGCCTGTCTTCCCCAAAATCCAGGTACCGCTGCATGCCCTCCTCTGTCGTAATGCCCTTCAGCTATATTAACAGAGAATTAGAAAAAATACTACAATTGATCTGAAAAAGTATAATTAAACTTGTATTTCCCATATAGGCTTGCCTGTATTTTCATACACTTCCTATTGTTTGAACTGCCGATTGTGGTATAAGTCAGTTACAACTGCTCTGCATCCACTGTATGCAACATACAAAAGCGTAATTATACCCTACTTGTGTTGTAACTAGTACGTATATGATACTCACTTTCTTTATAAGGTATTTTGCCAACCCTAAAATGCTCAGGTTGAAGTCTGTTCCGATATTGTAGATCTCGCCTGGCTCCCCCTTGTGGAGGATGGTGTCAAATGCTTCTGCCACGTCTGTCACATACAGGAAGTTACGAATACTGTCACCTGAGCCATGTATACAGCTGAAGATGTAGAAGAGAAACGTAATGGAGATACTGATATGAATATGGGATATGCTTTAATTGTACAATGGCCTGTCAGTAGCTAGGAAGGAGCAATCATGTCCAACTCATTAATAAAATCTAATATGATTGTGTTATATTTGTGGAGGTAAAAAAAGAACTTAATTTCATTTGTCAAAATTTCCTTGAAGTCTATATAATTTCTCTCAACATTACTCGCTTGCATTATCTTCAGGACAGAAAATTTGGATTCTTTAGCTTTCATATCATATATTAAAGAGTTAATAATATATCTCTATTTTCTTGCAGTACTAACTTTTTAATCAAACAAGCATTCTGATACATAATCTAGGAGTCTTCTACCTACCATTTCTTGTCTCTGTCCAGCAGAGAAATAAACTTTGGAATGACCTGCAAGGAAATGCATGTAAAAATGTTTGAGACAAACTTCACAGAATACAGTGTTAAAATCATGTAACATTAACTTTCTAAAACAATCAGAGGATATGGCTGTTTTTCTCAGTGATGTGGCCCTTCATAGGTTAAAATGTGCAAATATGATGACCTTTCACAAACTTTGCTAAGTGTTAGAATAATATCAAATGTATTATGTACAGACCTAATTGGCTGTGTAATTGGCAGGTAATACTATGCTACATAGTTTGAATACCGAGGAATGGTCTAAGAGAAGATAATACGTACTGATCTTGGATACTGGTGGGGACCATAGACATTGTTGGACCTTGTTATTATCACAGGAAACTGCAAATAGGAGAGATTATCATATCATCACTCTTCAAACCCACACTGACATTTTTCTGAATTTAAAGTTAGTGTTTAAACAAACTTTTTATCATATACAAATTTTATGAATTGCTCACTAAATTTGTGGTAATATGATGTTCACTAAATTATATATTTAATATGTGAAAAGTTTTAATCAAGGAAAAAAACTTTATAAACATTCAATATCATCCTAGAATTCATAAACTTTATTTACAGTGATTATGTACAGTCCATTTGTGATGGGAGCGATTAGAAGCTTGCCATGATCTCAGTTAACCACGAGATTATAAATACAAATTTCAATCTTCTCTACTGCCAAGTACATTATCAAACACACTCAGAAACTACCTGAACTTGAGCCGTCACAGTTGGATGCACATACACTGTATATGGGAGCAGCTTTACATTAATTATCAATATGCAGACAAAATGCCAAAAATGACAAGTCAGTAATGACAATATTTACATGAGCATGAACATATTAAGTAACCTTTCAATGAATTAATAAAATAAGAGCAGCTCCAGCTGGATATGCCTTACTTTGAATGACTCCCAATATGATCTCACCATGCACTCAGCAGCCGCCTTGCTGGCAGCATATGGGTTGGTCGGCTTGTAGTTGGATTTTTCTTTCAGTACCTGTAGGTGTCAGAGAAGAACCCCATCAACTGTGTTATGCACTAATTAGAATAAAGCAGTAATTGGCTGCATTCAGAAAAGTGGACTAACTAGTCTGAGGGTCAAATATGGCTGACCCACTTGAATACTTCCCCACAGGATATCTATTCAGTGTTTAATAACGGATAAGATGGCAAGTTTTTTAGTGGGTAGCCATATTGGACAATCAGACTAGTTAGTTCACTGTTCTGAATGTGGCCATTTTTTTTTCACTCAACACTTAATAATGAAGATACTGTTTACCTGAACTAATTTTGTTAATTGGAATATACAAAAGATTACATACTTAAACATGAAAAAAAAAACTTTTATCAAATCACCTTTTAGAGTGAGAATATTCTCTTTATCACATTAAAATGCCAGCATGTTTCTAAAAGCCACTAAAATGATACTTCTTGACAAATTGATCTAAGAAAGAGGTTTACAATGATGATTAATTTATAAAAACGTCTAACACATCACATTTTATAGGGGCATTTCAAGATTCAGCACTAAATTTCAGGACAGTATAATCTATCATCAGAGAGTATTCTTAACAACTACCTTTCAGAAAATTTGACAAGGAGTGTTTCATACTGCACTTGCCATAATATACTCATTTACAATGAAATACCAGAACTAGAGGATCAAAAAGGTATAAGTGCCTACTAGGTATGCACCACCAGCAGGGTTACACTATAAAAATTTATTTTATATGAGAAATTGATGACAAAAAAGTTACAGAATAAAAATGTTGCAAAATTTTTTTTCAGTTTGTGGCAATGTACCTCTGTGCTACTTCCTCCATAGACTTCATCTGTACTGACGTGGATAAATTTCTCCACTCTTGCCTCGTAAGCTGCGTTCACCAAAACATGGCTGCCATAGATGTTGGTGCGTGTGAAGTCAAGCGAATATATGAATGACATGTCTGGAAGAGTATGGAACAGGACAATCAGGCAAAACTTTTCTTCAACTTTTCAACTTTTTTTTTGAGGGGGTGAAAATGTTCAATTTTGAAAAATCTTATCTCCAAACTGCTTCAAATTTGCAAACAGGATATTGGTTTGCAAAATAAATACAATAAACAAACAGACGAATTTTAGCACACTTCTTTAATTTTAACAAATCAATTTTAAATCAATATTTAAACTAACGCATCTCAAGATGTAAATAAAAAAATAATGTCAAAGCATTATCCTTAGACTGTATAAAATTATTGTACTAAATACAAATACATGCTGTTTATATTAATTTATGAGCGTACCAACTTGTGATTCTGCAGCAAAGTGAAGAACTGTATCAATCCTTTCTTCTTGAAAGACATAGCGCATGAAGTCTGGTTCACAGATATCCCCCTGTAAACACAACATTTAAACAATCTCTGATCACTGACTCTTTTGCAACTACCCTGTGTACAGCAACTAAATCAACTCTTACTTAATAACTTAGTATACTCAGCTGCTTAAAATTCAACTCTGTTTTCCACTTATTTCACACTGCTTATAATTACTTCATTAAACAGGTTTGCCTCTGCTGCATGTCTGCATGAACCAAAAAATCCCATCCTTTCAAACAATTTTAAAACTGAGGTAGCTTAATAAGCCAGAATATCTATTCTAATCAAAAACTTGGAATTGAAGCATAGCACAGGAATAAGACACCTAAGTCAATCAGTAGAGTGCATTTTTACTTACTTTAAAATTATCTCATCATAATTTCATTTATTTTTCCATTAACATTTAAAACTTCATATATATATATATATAAGTGAGCACCTTACCTTTTTTTTGCTTGCTTTATGGTATTTTAATTTCTACATACCTGAATAAATTTATAATTTGACTTTCCTTTGATACTCTCCANCGCTACAAATATGAAAATTACATGTATCTTCTCGTCTGGTTTGGATCGCGAACGTTCTGTTGACGATATTACGCGAACGATTCTCCGCTAAAGATAAGAAAATTGCCATCTCGTCCCATTCGCATTGCGAACGATCTCCATGTACGAGTCAGGTAATCGTTAAATGGTCCTAAATTGAACATAGACATGGATAGAAGTGACGGGTACATTTCACTTCGAGATAATATCTTGATTTTTTCATTGTCTTCCTCATTTAGGACAGCCGCCGATAACAATAACGGCGTTACAAATGACAAAGCCGCGGCCTGTGACTTCTATATGCCGGCATGATAACGCACCTTAGGCTAGTTAATAGTAATGAACTAAAGACAAAAGGCCGACGTTCCCGCAATTGAGAACGGGAATTCACATCTAACCATCTATATTTTGAGTTACCGCTCGCAGGGGCGCACTATTGTTCCTATCTCCCATTGAGAGTGTTATCGGCAATGATATCCTGATCGTATCATTGTCTTGAATCAACTGACGCATTACCTTCATGTTTGAGCTGGACAACGCGGCCATATTTGGCGACGAACTTTTCAAAAATTATCGAGTACCTCATTTTCAAGGTCGACGAAGTTTTCAAAGGGAAAAAAATTACGTCGGCGGAAAATCGTCTGCCGACGAAATTTTCAAGAACGACGAAATTTTCAAGACTTTACCGTAATAACAGAGAATCATCAAATTATGTTACTAAAATATGTCTTGTTTTTTAAAAAGCAACAATAGTATTTAAAATGTTCAACAATAGTACTTACTCAGCAAAATATTTTCAAAAAAATTATTTGAATTGTGGAAAATTGAAAATTGGTCATTCTAAAAGATCTTCTTAAAAAGTTAAACAAGAACTAGATGTTATACCTCATTATGTGGCAACCCAGCAGCTGAGAAGATAGGAATTTTCTGCCCACGAGCAATGCTGTTCATGCAGTCAATGGCTGAGATACCAGTCTGGATCATCTCCTCGGGATAGATACGTGACCAGGGGTTGATGGGCTGACCTAAAAAAGAAAATGGAAAAGGTGCAAATAAAAAAATATACAAAAAGAAGAGCTTTGGAAAAAAATGTTAAAGCACAGACAGTGATTTATCTCAATTGCAACAGAATATGTTCTTCAATTCCTCTAGTGTACTTGTACTGAATACTAAATAGCACTCATGCACCATTTGCTCTACTCACTGAATGGGCTTAAAATGGGCTTGCATTACATACAAAATACCAGCAAAATGAAAAGGGTGAAATAAATGTACAAGTACTTTTAAAATTTTGCATCCTTCCTGCAGTTTTTATTATTTGTAATAAAGCATGCAGCTTTAACTATGCATCATTCAATGAGCCAGCAGCTTGTAAATGGTTTCATATTTTTTTACTACATAGATTTATGGGATTATAAAGGTTGTGCATGACTTAACAGTTTCATTACACAGTCTGGCCTCAAGTTTGGTCTACAAACAAGGATTTAACTGTACATGTCTGAAACCTGCTTCAGAGGTGGTAGTAGTGCATTAAAAAAAATATATATATCATAGCTTAAATGTGCTCAATCTCTTTCCCGTTTAATTCATCTTCATACATCATTTTCAATTTTCTCAAGAAATAATTTCAGTAATGAGAACACGTGATATTAAAAATGTGCAACCATCTTACATATCTACACAAAGGAAAATTAGATTTACCTTGTATATCTAAGAAGTCTTCTGCTAACACAGGAGGCCCTTTGTCTATTGGTTTACCAGAACCATTAAAGACACGACCTGGCATTCAATAAAAAATTGTGAAAATTGTCAGAAAGATTTCATAAAATTTGGCATGTGACTTTCTTACTATAAATTACCATTTAAGTATGTAGAATATGCAATTTTTGATCAAATTGATTAAGATTAGCAAAGGATGATGGTTTTGCATATAGCAGAATACTAGAAATTGGCAAAAAAAAAAAAATAGCATAAAGAATTTACCCAACATGTCCTCTGATACAGGCATTCTTAAAATGTCTCCAGTAAATTCACATGTGGTGTGTTTTGCATCAATTCCAGAAGTACCCTCAAACACCTGCATTAAACGAAAACAGTAATTTCTATGTTTTATACAGCAGAACAGGTTGCTATACAAATTGAAAGAACTTTCTCCCACAGTTTTCTTATATAAAATAATATAAAACCAAGGTTGAGTGTCCTAGTTTTAAACAAAATACAAATCAACTAACCTTTTTAATGATTTTTAATAGGGTTAAGAGAGTTTAAACTGTTAAAAGCAGTCCTCATATCAAGATTAAGTAATACATAAAACAGAGATAATATTCTAAGGAGACAACACCTGAACCACAGCCTTGGAACCGCTGACTTCCAGGACCTGCCCACTGCGAGTGCTGCCATCAGCCAGGGTCAAGTTGACAATCTCGGCAAACTTGGGGAACTATATAAAAAGGTAATAGTAGGGTAAATGTGTTTAAAAAACTAACTAAATTCAGCAACTTCTTAAACTAAATGCTGTTTCTTTTTTAAATAAGTTCTGCCTTTTTATTTTTTAAAATTTTTTTTAATTAACAAGAATTCTGCTTTTATAAGTTACTTATGGGTCCAAAATTTACCTTGACATCATCTAAGATAACCAGTGGTCCATTTACACCAGACACTGTCTTGTATGCTGGATTAAAAATATAAGTAGCATGAGACAGTAACTAAAACATGCTAAGACAAGATGGTGACTATATTATAACATAGAGTGACATCAAAAATGCCTGGAAAACTTAACAACATGAAGATATCCTTTGCGACTCTTGCATTATAAGGAAACAACAGCATAATGGAGAGTCATCAACACATCTTTCACAGAACACACTCATTTAAAAAGTATGGTAAACAGAGGTGTATCACCCAATTCTAAGCTTATTATTGCCAAATTATTTCCAATTTGACACACACAGATATATATTACCAAGGTCTACCAGCCAGCTGCACTTATTAGTGCCATGTTGAGTGGATAACCAGAGGCAATAAAAAGGAAACAATTTCCAGAACCTCTCTTCATCAAATTACCATGTGCAAATATTAATCTAAAAATTCTTCCCAGGAGGATATTGCAATTGATTTATAAGCAAACTGTGTATTAATGCACCATGTCTTATTTTTCTTTATCATCAGGTAAGAACCACCCAAATTAGATTTAGATGATGCAAGGATATCATCTCAAGTATAGAGAAGAATTACATTACACGCAAGAAAAACAGACCATTGAATTAAAATACAAAGCAAAGCAACCTTTATAGGGAAAAAAGCAATGAATCACAAAAACGAAATCACAATTTGCAGCAAAAACTGGCCTTATAACCAACTGAAATGCTTAGGATTAACTGCTTCATCAATCGTTTTCAAGATATCATAGCCTAAAGTCACTAACACACAGCTTTCCCAACCATTTATTGATTCTTCACAAAATGTCGGTTAAAATGTCAATAACCCTCTTCATCGTGAAATGGGCTTACCTATAGATAAACTGATCCAGGG